TATATATATATTTATCATTAAATATTTTATTTAATTATATATAATAAAAAAATTTGAACCGGCTGGTTTTAAAAAACCTGGACCGGTTTGCCGGTTCACTGGTTGAACCGACGGTTTTCACCAAAACCGGTCGGTTTGAAGCAAAGCCGGTTTTTGGTTTGAACCGAACCGGACGTCAGACCAGTTCACGGTTGAACCGGTCGAAGCAATGATATCTATTTTGTTATTTTATCTAAGTTAGAGTATGTGTTATTTATCTTATTTCTGGAACATTGACGTATAAGAAAATAAGATGCATGATGAAAATTGAAAAAGAAATAAAAATTTTTAAATTTTTATTTGCATCACAGTGCTAATCAACTTAGTATCTCAGTGCTTAAACTCATAGCACCGTAGTGCCATAACTAAACCAACGACACAGTTAAGTTCATATGTCTAGCATTGCAGTGGTTTGTAGCTACGCCAGGCGGTGGGAGGAATCCAAGGTATAACGCTACAACGCTATTCTAGTTTAATACCGTATCATGTTGACCTCATTTTTGTATAAGGTCACTAAGGCCCTTCCAGACTCCAGATCAATCCTAGATCCTAGGATCCACTCTAGACTTTAAGATTCTTTCCTAGAGCTAGACCTTAGGGCCTACTCTAGAGCTTAGGATCCTTCTAGACTCAAGACCTTAGGGCCTACTCTAGAGCTTAGGAGCCTTTTAGACTCAAGACCTTAGGGCCTACTCTAGAGCTTAGGATTCTTCCACATCCTAGATCCTAGGACCCTTCTAGATCCCAAATCCTAGAACTCTTCTAGATTCCAAATTCTAGAGCCCTTATAGACCTTAGATCTTAGAATCCCTCTAGATCCTAGGATCAATCCAGACTCAAATCAATCTCTACCCTTGATCAATTTAAATCTCAAACTTCATTCAATTCAAATCCAAATCAATTCAAGCTTCAAAAACATTCAAATTTTGACCCAGTCCAATTGAGAATCCAAACTGCAATCTAGACTTTGATCCTACCTTTGATCTAGCTTTGACCATATTCATTCATTAACAATCACCACATGATTGCAAATGATTTGGATACTTCAATATTAATCATTCAAACTTAAAATCCATTCCAAATCCAGAAATCCAAACCCAAATCCTAAGTCTTAAGGCCCTGTCCTAAAAACTTTTTTCAAGGATTTTTCAAACACTTCAAAACCCAGTCAAGTGACCTCTGATTCAGGGTCTATCACCTGCAAAGTGATAAGACATGTCTCTAGAGGTTACCCTTCAATTTTGAGCCCATTCTGAGCTCTCTAATCTCAGAATCTAAATCAAAATCCAAAGGCTGTAAAACCTTCAAATAGTGCCACTAGACCTATCGCCTTGAAGATTCTGATCTTAAAGCCTTCACCAAAGCCTCTAATCACTTCCAGACTTTTGATTATAACCCATTGAGCAGTAAATTGTATTTTTTAGACCCATTTTTAACCCTAGTTGACCAATGGGTCAAAATTGACCAATATACCCCTATGGGATTTTAAATGCCCATTTCAACTCAAATGAATTTCAAATTCCTTAAAACCACTTTCAACAAGTTTCAAACATCAAATCCAACCTGTTGAGCTCAAACCCAGACCTTGGGTCAACCTAGTTGACCAAGTCAACCAAG